TTTTTTATTTCAAGGAAATTCATTTTCCAAAATATAAAAATTACCACAAAAAAAAAAAAAAAAAAAAAAAAAAAAAAAAAAGCAGATTTGTGGATGAATTATTCACCAATGCGGCGCGGCCTGGAGGTCAGCCTGCGGTTCTGCTGAGGTGTTCAGGAAGTCCAGGTTACTTTGGGTCATCTGCATGGTTGGTTCTAGTGCCTCTCATCTTCCTCTTCGCAATGATTGACAGATTTTCTGTAGGGTTCAGGTCAGTCTAGTTAACTGGCGTTACCATGGTGATTGGACTGGTACTTTTGGCAGTGTAGGATGGTGCCGAGTGTGAAACGACACACTGGACCTCAAACAAAGCGGGTTCTGTGTCCCTCTGTTCTTCCTCCAGTCTCTGATCTTAATTTCCATATAAAAAGCAAAATTTTATTTCCATCTGAAAAGTGGACTTTGCAGTAAACGGAGCTGTCCCTGAACTCCTTAACTCAGGTGAAACAATTGTGTTTCAGGTCTAGAAATACTTCAACAGAAGAAATGTGACAGTTGTGCTCCTTTTCTTCTTCCACTTAACTTTCCATTACTATGGCTGGTCATAGAACTCTGTAGAATAAATAGATGCTTGAATTCTATCACTGTGTGTAATTAATTTAAGAAACGCACGAGTTTCACCTGTTTGCTTTACTGAAAGTCATTAACCTCTTGATATTAACTTATTGAGCTGCACCTGTTCCATATTTATTCGTATCGCCTCGAACGGATTCCTGTTTTCCTGGTGCAGAGTTGGCTGAAGTTTATTTGTCTACATTGTCAGACATGTTGTTGCCACAGGTCAAAGGCACATATTGAGTGATCTCACAATAAAAGAGAAAATCTCTGAGGAGAGAATCACAAGGACTCCGACAAATAGAAAGAAATCTAAGGCTTTGAGGATGTGTGTTAAACCTTCAGCAGGACCTTGAGCAGGAAGAAAGTCTTCAGCCCAGAGCGAACGCAAACAGCAGAGACCTACAGCAAATGTTAAATAAAAGTATTACAGCCTTGTAACAAGTGTCTCAGCTTTGAGTGAGAATCAGAAACATTGTGCATGCTGTGATGTTGCACTCCAGTGAGCCTAGAAATTTCATCCCAGAGTTTCATTCACAGATGGGGTTTGGGCTGAACATTGTGGCGAGCCCACAGAACTCTGAGCGTTGTCTTACTGTGCTGTGGCCCTGTGTCACCACTCCTCCAGATGAGAGCAACAAAAGAAGAAAGCAAACTAATGTATATTTTTCTGTGTCTTCTTTTCTCCACTCAGCTGCTATTCAGGTGCAAATCACTCCGGCACAAGGGGAAATCAGCGTCGGAGAGTCCAAATTTTTCCTCTGCGAAGGTAAGAGAGCACGCTTCATTTAGCTCAGCTTGATGCAAATTTCAGCTCGTCCATAAAATACTGCGAGTAGCATCTGAGGTCATTTAATGAAAGTAGAACATTTTTGGAAAAATAAAAAAAAAAGAGGAAGAATGAGGGACAGAGTACAGACAGCTAAACAGTAGGGAACAGAGTGAACCAAAATCAGGCCAATAATTGACAAGAAGTGTAAATTTAGCTGGTTTAATCTCTAGAACACAACCAACAAAACTCAAAAATGGCAAAAAGGGATCGAATCAGAGAAATCATTATAAAGAAAATCATACAAAGAAAATCTTTATACACTGAAAAAGGAGAGTGCATCTCCAACTTTAACACATTTTGATAATTAGTCACAAGTAACCTAATTTTATTCAAATTAATTTATTACATTTATTAAATTGCTAAGGTAAATAAAGTAAGTTTCATAAACTTTATTCAGTGACTTATAACCAATAGGACAGTTTGTTTAAAGCCGGAGCTGCATCTTCTTTCTGCAGTGTCCCAGGCTGGCTTCCTGGACGCTGCAGGTCCTCCTCATGTGGGTCAGCCAGTCGGTCCACCACGTTCCTTGACCTCTTTAGATGTTACGCAGTTACGCATCAGACGGTTAATATGTCAACTGTTTTTGTATTTGTGCAAAAATCTTACAAAAGCAGCAGATGATAAATACTTCAAGAAAAATGCAGCTTGGGAAGCTGAAGTTTCTCGGTGCTACTTGATATGCTGCTGGCTGACCAGTCCAGGATCAGCATTCATTTTCCTTGGCTCTGATTGGCTGTGCCCCCAAGAGAGAGGATGTGGACGACTGTAGCTTCTGCGGTGGTGCTAAGATGGTTTCCATTCTGTTTATAAATGCATTTTAAGGTATTTTTGGTGTTTGAATGATTACAGTATAGGCATTTGTAAGTGGCTTTTGAGGGCATCTCAACAATTCGAGCATCTCATCTATTCACAAACCCACCAACACCATTGGTCTCCTGCATGCAGCAGGACTGTGTCTGCATTTGGAGCTGTGAGCAAATTTATCCCTTATATTCTACAAATTGGTAAATAGCAGGTTGACATTTCTTTCCTGTTCAAATTTGCCTATGAACACTAGTTTTTTTTTATTATTATTGTTACCATGGCAACCACTAATCACCAAAATTAAAATGACCAATATCTCGTTGTACAGGACAAACTCTGTCCAGTAAATGATCCCCTGACTCTTAAAGCAACAGCTGCACAGTTGTTAGCTTGCAGCAACAAGATGTCTGTGTTTTTCCTGAGTGATTCTATAATTGGAGATACATTTGGCACTTCAAGAAATGACAACAAAAAACAAAAAAACTTTTCATTTCTTAAAAAGTTTCTTAGGTAGTCTATTGAAAAGGCATTAAACTTTTAAAAAATCTGTAATTGCCAAACATTAGCTACATATTTTATAATTTTTTCTCAGAAAAATCTTATGTTTTGCGGTATGTTATGTCAACTCTGTTACGGACAATATAGTCAGAGAGTGAAAAAAAAAACAATAAATTCTAACAGACTAAAATATTTTTATTCCATTACACCAAGTGTCCTACTACCCAAATACTTTAAATTGAGATGTTTTACTTAAAAATACATTTTAAAAAATCAAAAGATACTCAACTTTTCACAGAGTTATTTGCATAGGGTCAAACGTTTTTCATTAAAACTCATTGAAAACCATCATTCTTTTAGAAATAAAATTGGTCAGAAATACTAAATCACAGCAGAAGTCAAGCAACAATGTATATGGTGCTCTGGACAACAGTTTTCCTTTTTTTTTTTTGTGAACGTATGTCAAACATGTCAACTCTGTTATCCTATTTGGTAACAGAGTTGATGGTAACAGAATTGACAATTTAAAACATTTTTATTAAAAACTCCACTTGTGAGTAGAAATTCTGAAAAAAACATGACACCACTGAGACAATGGTTTGAAAACCATTAAATAAACTTGTCTCTGATCAAAAATCTGTAGTATTTTTCTCATGATACTTTGGCAACAAGATTGACGTTGAAAACAATAACCCCTGGTGATTGTGATTTTTAGACTAAAATATTTCCCAGAGAATGGCACATAGTGTGTTTGAGATCTTATCAGTAAAAGTAAATGACTTAATTTTATGCAGTCTATATAGCCGTAGAAGGCAATTTCACAGATTTACAGGGACAAAACTATATGGTAACAGAGTTGACAAAAAATTCTCGGACACATATTTTTTTCAAAAATAAGGGTATTTTGAGTTAATTTAATGTGATGTTGTTATTAAATTGACCATTTAGGCAGTTTAAAAAAAGATAGAAAAAACAAATTCACCAAAGAAAAATAATAAAACATAGGTTTTTGCATCATTTTTCAGGTTAATAAAAAAGACAGTACCCAACTCGGACAACAAGAAGTCTTGGTTTTTCAGCTATATAAAACAATTTTAAATGTATTTACTTAAATGTTTTTACTTGTTAAATATTATGATCCATTAAAATGAGTAATAAATTACTAAAACATTTAAAAATTGAAATATTTTAATATACCAGACCAAAAATAATGACTCTGGACATCAAATGTATCTGCAATTATAGAATCACTCTCCTGCATGTCCCCCCAAGCGAGCGGGATCTCTCTGGGTACTCTGCTAAAAACCTGACTGTTTGGTTAATCTTACTCTAATTTACCCTTAAGAGAGAGAGGGAGTGTGTGTGCACACGCACACACATCCTTTTATGGTTGTAGACCATAAAAGGATTCATTCGAGATTCAGCTGTCTTGATTATGATATGATCACGTCAGCTCCAGAAAATAAATATTATTTTAAGCAGGCATCATAACTTTAATCTATTGTAGATCACCAAGGTCTCAAACAAGGAGCTGGATTTGATACTGAAATAAGAAAATGTCATTTAAAGTTGGATGGTAAAATATGTAAAAAAAAAAAATTAATAAAAAAAAAAAAAAAAGCAAATGCTTTTATTGACCTGTTATGTGTCAAATTTTTCTATAACAAATTAAGTCGTAGAAGCAAAGTTTTTGTGTATGCTTTAAACTAAAAGGTTTTGTTCTGCTCTGTGAAGATAAATGGCTTTAGTTCGACTTTGAATTGTTCCGTGTTAAACAATAAGCCCTCCTTTGAGCTCTGTGTTCTTTATGAGAGAAGGCAACATTACCAGTTTGTTTGTGTTCTGCTTCATGAAAAATGAATAGAGAAGAAAACTTGTTGGATATTTTTTTTTTCCTCCCCGTCAGTAAGTTGCCTCCTAGTCAATAGATACAAATTATTTATACCACTCCTTTTTATCCTAATATCCATATTTTTCACCTCATTTTTAAAAAGGTATTTAGATAAATAAATTAGGTTTATTTTATTTCCCATTTTCATTTGTGCTTCATTTTTCCCCCCTGTGGGTTTTATTGATCGCTGTCTCACGTGGTGCTCCTGCAGCATCAACAAAATCCTGTCTTATCCCACATCTTTGGTGATTTCCATCGGAATAAAACTTTATTGATCTGCCATGAACACTTTCCATTGCTTCCTTCTGTGTTCCTGGTCTCCATTAGTGACCCTGCTTTGTGAACCTCTCTGTTTCGCAGTGGTTGGGGACGCTAAAGACATCGACTGGTTCTCCCCCAGCGGTGAGAAGATCCTCCTGTCTCGGCCGAACATCTCTGTGAGCCGGAGTGACGAGTCCACGTCCATCCTCACCATCTACCACGCCAATGTGGACAACGCCGGCATCTACAAATGTCTGGCCAAAAACGCAGACAAGGAGGCCCAAGCCACAGTTCAAGTGAAGATCTTCCGTAAGTCCCATCAGATTTTATCCCGCTTTTCCAGCCTTCAAAGTATTTTTTTATATATATATTTTCCAATCAACGTCACATCCTGCCACCGATACGCCACCTATACGCCACTAGAGCTCTTCAAAGGGCAGACAGACGTCACAAGAGGTTATCCAAGCCAAGCTTTACCATTTCTTTGCAGTTCAATTCAGTATGCAGTAAGAAAGACATACATGAATGCAAAAATCATATCAAGTTTCAAGGTAAATGAACACTTAATGAGTTATAAGAGCTCTCTGGCTGGCATGTGGGAAATGAGTAGTATGATATTTATTGTAACAAGTGATTTTCATTAAACGGAGCTCAGAGAGGTTTGAACTGGCAGGAACAAATGTCTCTGATTGCTACAAATGATTCATCCCTCTGTGTTGATAGGTACAATGTTTTAGTTTGACCTTTACCCAACTTAAATAACTATCCAGCTTCAGACAGCTGGCAGAGGTAGCTTAAAAAGAGCAGTCAGTATTTTACCTGCTGTCACAATTTTTCATAATGCAGCCACAAACTTCAGTAATTTCATTTTAATTTTTTTTAAATGTTATGTAATAGACCAAAACAAGAACAACTCTGAAGTGGAAGGAAGAATGCATGGAGATCTGAAACATGTGGCATGCATTTATACAGCAGTTTTTCCCCCATGATATGTGGAACTCTGCAGCTCCTCCAGAGTTACCATGATTAGTTGCAAAAAAATTCATATCAGGGAATCAGGGCAAAAGGGGTGGCCTGAAAATAAATGCAAGCCACACTTTCCAGGTATTTCTTCATAAACAAAGCATATCGTGACTTTTCCCTGATATGCACCAGTTTGTGTTGATCTTCAGTTTGTAACTCCAATAGGTTGAAGTTGTTGGTTATTTTTAAACCAACATTGTGTGCAAAAGCAAATACTGTATGTCTGCCTTGCACATAATACTTAGTGATGGTTGCAGAGCAACGACTTTATTTGCACTTCTATTTTTATCTCATAAAATCTGAAAGCTTTTACGAGATAAACACACACGCCTCCTTGTATTTGAACTTGTAAGTTCAAGTTTAATTACAATCTTTTTTTAATTTAACGGATTTTCGTTGCTTTAAGTAAAAAACGAAGCAACAAACTAAATGGATTTCTAACACTTCTCAACAGAAAAGATCACCTTCCAGAGCGCGCCGAGTCCGCAGGAGTTCAACGAGGGCGACAACGCCGACATCGTGTGCGACGTGGTCAGCTCGCCGCCGCCCTCCATCATTTGGAAGCACAAAGGCTCCAAACTCCAATCCGCCAAAGACGGTGAGTCGCTTCAAACAGAACTACTTCAGTGCCGGAGCTGCTTTCTCACCTCCAGCACATCATTCTGCCCAATCCTCTCGACTCCCTGAGCAGTCACCTCGCCTTCATGCCATCACTGCCTGCCAGTTCATGCTTTCCAATCAATTTTCCACTCTCCGCCGAGTCTCCCTCTCCCTTTGCCTGTTATCTATGAAAAAGTAAAGAATTTTCTGCAGGAGGTGATTTTATACCTCTTAGAAGACACATGGAAATAGTTTTTTTTTTTTTTTTTTTTTTTAGCCTAGCAGGAGGAAGTTATTGTCTGCTGAAGCAAGATATGTTTAATTCACCCAAACAGGTGAACTTAACAAAAGTAAAGAAAGTGGAAAGATAAAATGCAAAGGCTGTAATTTCATGCGAACTACTTCCAACAAAAGAAACTGCCCGCCAACGTTTTTCAGGTTAGCTAATAGCTGGCTTACCAAAAGGTTTTTTTTTTTTTTTTCCAGGAGAGCAGCGCCCATATGTTTGAGAGTTAATAATTGGGTGAAGCTCTTCCCTCGCACCAGGATTGCTGGGTTTGTTGCCTGATGTCTGTGTTTTCAATAGTTCACTCAATTGAAAAATCTTTCTCGTTAGCATATCAAGCGCTCCTCGCCTTTAGGGGTTCTGGAAAGTTTGTCACCTGCTCTTTTACTGTGAAAGGAAGCCATAATTAGCTTTGATTTGCAGCAGTTACCATTGATTTTTGGTATTCAGCGGAAAAAAAAAAAAAAAAAAAAAAATAAACAGAAAAAACCCTGACAAAAGAAAAACATAAGAAGCAATCCATGGAAACTTTAGAAATGATTCTTTAATAATCGGCTTTTTTCTTTACCGTTGATCCCTGTGTTTGAAACAATTGTAGCTTAGAAGCTGTGAAGCATGAAACAGTCTTGGGCTTTAAAATATCTCCATGGAAATGGCTGAACAAATTAAACAAACCGAAGAACAAAGCACAGCAGCAGAGCATTTCAAATAAATATAAAATGATATGTTGTTTTAACATTTCGTTTTGTGGGAATAAGATGAGAAGAGCATAAACTTTGTTTTGGGTATACAGTTGTGTTAAAAATAAACGCAGTTTGTTCAAAAAAAAAAAAAAAAAAAAAAAAAACTCTCGAACTCTCCTCACAGCAGCACACATCCCATTTAGATTTTATTTCCATACAGGAAAGTGCATTGGGAATACTCTGCATTTTATTCCAAATCAAAACATGGAGAATGTGTTTTATCAAATCACTCTACAGAAAATAAGGAAAAATGAATTGTATGCTGACACCGAAATAAACTCCGGTGTCAGGGGTTTTTTGTGCAAACCCAAACATTTACAGCATAAACTGAAAAAGGTTAAACAAAAAAAAAATGTATCTTTCCCGTGGATAAAATAGAAATATTGTTTATTATCCCACAGTGGGGAAACTCAGGAGCACCAGCAGCAAAGTGACAGGCCATCAAAGCATGATGAATATAAAGTATATAAAAAAAAAACTGAATAAAAAACATACTGTATATTAAGGGGAAAATTTCAACATAAGCAATAGCAATTAAAAGTATTGTGTATTTCTACACCGAGAAAGTTAGACTATTTACAATAAGTGACAATAAAAACTGTGAAACAGCAGAAATGTGCCAATACCAGCAGAAATATTATTTAATATGAGTAAAATGGTACAAATAAAATCGTTAAGTTTTAAAACGCTTGAGTTTGTTGGGAGCAGTGGTGACTTCAGAGTCTGAGAGCTGCTGGGAGGAAGGATCTACCATAACGCGCCTCTGTGCATCCAGGATGCAGCAGTTTATCACTCTTCAGTTTAACATGGTGTGGGAGACATTGTCCATCCGTCATGTTACTTCTGTCTCCCACCACCTGTACCTGATAGGATCCATGTTTCTGAATTGGTGAATCCTGCTGGTGTTTTTAGGGTTGTAGTCTTGCTGTAAAACTCATTTTGAGGATATTTCTTCATTCACAAGTGAAGAAATATCCTCAATCAAGCCTATAAAGGCAGTTAACATGTGGTCATTATGTAACATGTATTTGTGTCCAATACGCAGGCAGTTTTAGCCCATTTCTAACACATGTGGGGTCTATATGTAATCTTTGGCTGGGTTTCTGTTATTGTGGCAACTTCCTGCAGCCAAACATGAGTTTATTTTGGCTTTACAAACCTTTGTCCAACTCTGCCTTGGTGAACAATGTCGGTGTTGTGTGGACTGAGAAAGAAAACGGGCTTTGTTTTGCACTTGAACTGGGTCTGATTTAACCTTAACGTTACCCCTCCTCTGGTGACCGCTGTAAAGCCTCAACTTACCACAAAGCAGCGCTTAGCCTGCCTTTATTCTTGGCCTCTTATCAAGGAATGTGTTTTCGACTGAAGGAAAAAAAGACCTCCAATTGTGACCAGCGCTGAGAAGTGCTCATGTAATTTTCCTCAGTGCAGCAGTCGACCTAACCATATGTTTAAATGTCCACAAAGAGCTGCTTATGCTAAAGTGTCGCTCAGACATAAATTAAGACCCACATCTCTAAACTTGTGAGAAACAAAAATTGCACTGATCCCCCTCCCACCCCCTGCCAATCTGCAGTTAAACATATTATACATTTAGAATGTGAAAACTCAGTACCTCTTAAGAGGTTCAAAAATTCCCTCACAATCAGAGAAACACTTTATTTCTCAAAAGTTACAGTAATAGGACATGAGGAGAACTTGTTAGTCTCCTGAATTATGCAAACACAGAAAATATAGTGAGAGAAAACGTTTAGTATTCCACTCCAGCTGCCCTCCTGGCATATAATCACATTAATCAAACATCACACGTTCCTCGAGTTTAGACAGCATGTTACCTTTTAAGACAAGCAGAGAGACTAAAATCTCATTTTAACTTTTCAGAACTGAAACCTGCCAAAAGAAACTTTTGGAAAGTAGCTTCCAATTCTAGATTAGTTTTTATTTTTAGGTCCCTTCAGATTCAGAAGTTTACATGAATTTCTTAGGAATGTGGTGAAGTTGGCAGCGCTGTTAGCTGCAGTGCTACCACAAATGGCGACCCGACCTGTACAGGGTGTGCCTCATCTCTCACCCGGTGACCCCCGGAAATATGCACCAGTCTCCCTGTGGCCCTGCAAGCAGGTGTAGACTATGATTGGATTGATGGACATACATTTCTTAGAATTAAATTTTGTCAAGCCTATGGCAACAACTCCACGCATAAAGGCATCTAGATGGTAACTTAAATGGGACATCAGGAGAGAATGGAAAAGGAAGTAAAGAGTAACTAAACCCCAAATCAGCTTTTTATTGCAGGTAAACTGTCTGGATTGTTCCCTAAGGATGCCATCTTTGTTTCTGTGGAGATTGTAACATCTTTGTATGGATTTGTTTGATTCTGCCACATTCAGCCTAAAACTGCCTCAGTGCTGCCCTCTTTGGGATGAACAGTGGTTACTGCAGTCATATATTCCTATTGGTCAATGTTTATGTCACACAGCCCCAGTTCTGCCATAAAACCATGTCACTGAGACACACGCCCCCTGGTGGCGAGTCAGGAGTTGGAATTATGAGTGTGATGAGAACTGATCTATGTCGCCTGGTGGATTTGTGCAAGAGCAGCAAGTCGGAGTATTTTGTAAGCCGCTGATCTACTGAGATGTTAATGCACAGCCATCTGTCAGGCTTAGGAAAAATAACTCAACTGAAAAAAAAAAAAAAAAAACGCAGCCAAGTACTTTAGACTAAAATGATTTTCGAGGTCAGAGAAGAATTAGCAGACAGACTTGAACAAAAAAAAAGTGGAATTCCATCTCTAAAAACAAAATAAATCAAATAACCAAGCAGAAATACAGTCTGATTTGACGGATCTCGACTCTTCAGTTGACGTAGAATCAGGATTTGTGATTAGCAACAAGAAAGCATGAATCCATCACCGCTTGTATTAATAATGCAGGCTGCAGGGGGCCACGTTTCATTCCTGTATGACCACATGTTCTACCAGGAACACACACTGTGGCAGCAAGCTCAAATCAACTCAATCTCAGAAAATAAGCTCAGGGCAGTTGAGTGGTTTCCACAGTCACCACGTCTCCATCCGACAGAGCATGTTTGGGATGTTGCAACAGGAGACTCTCATCCTGAATGTGCAGCTGACCAACCTGCAGCAGCTGTGCGCTCCAACCATGTCAGTGCAGGACAAGATCCCAGAGAATTAATCGCACAACTTGTTGAATGTATGGGGAATTTAAGGCACTTCTGAAGGCTAAGAAAATGCTTTGTATCCATCTATGAAATAGCTGGTGAGCTAAAGTCTAGTCGGCGCAGACTGAAAGTGAGCGAGGCGAGTTCCAGCATGGAGACTTTTTCAGCCCCCCACGAGCCTCAGCAGCCCAGGCCTGCATTATATTCAGCTCACCGCAGGTGCAGCCAATTAAAAAAAACACAATGAATCCCAGGTAGCAGTGAAGGAATCCTAAAACTGGCTCTGTAAGGCCAGTGGGAATCCAGAGGGATAGAACTGCTTAGAAAGTTACTCTGGAGGAGAGAGCAGTTCTTGGAGCAGCATGTTGAAGTTCATGGTGGCAGAAAGAAGATTTGGAAAAGCAAATAGATTCACTTCCTGTCTGTCAGCTCCAACTGATATCGCCTAAATACTGGGTTTTTAGGTGGATATGAGCTTTATTTAAAATGCCCTTAGTGCAGTCACTAATTTGTTGCATTATATTGATAGTATAATATAGTTATTCTCAGAATATTAACAGCAAAGTACTGCATACAGAAATGTACCTGAATCTGAAGTGATGGACACAACCAGAATGGAAATAGTTGCTTTATTGTCCCAAGAAAGACATTTAGCTCATGGCTTCCCTGCATATAACATGATTATGATCCAGGATATCTAACCTCTGGAAAATAAGTAACAAAAACAATAAATGCATATCTGATTTAAAATGTTCTCATCATAAAGGAAACATAACAATTCTTCTAGTTTAGAACTCCTGATCATGAAATACATATTTGGAAAAGCAAAACTGTTTGAGCTTAGTACATTTTGAGTAAAGGCACATTCATAATTAGCACACACTGCCTTTATATCATTCACCTTAAAAGTTTCCTTTCACTTTATTCACTCACAGGTACAGTGACTCCCTGCACAGTAGCAGCTCAGTATTCTCAGACTGTTCTGTGGAGTGTAACTCAACATTTTTCATGAATAATCCAAATAATCATGGATCTTTCAGTAAAGCATATCTAAAATATTTGGAAAACTGGAGCTCGGGAAGCTGAAATACCTGAGCTACTATTGGCTGACATCTGCAAAGCAGCCAATCCACGATCCCTGTTTCTTCTTTTTGTTGCTGATTGGCTGTAGCCTCGAGCTGAGGTCAGGAAGACCGTGGCCGTCAGCTTCAATAGTGCTAAAATAATTTCCACTGTGATGTACATATTTGATGTTTGGTAAGTGTTTTTAGAGGATGTCTCAAGTATTCATGGATTTCAGCGGTCAGTAACCCCCACAGACACTTCAGGTCTCCTGCATAGACTTTACACTGCAGTAAAGCAAAATGCAGTTATGTATTTCTGTGGATACAACTAACAAATGATTGTTTCACTTATGCAGGGAAAAGACAATGTAAGTGGAGCTCATTCTATGTGGAAAAAGTAATTGTTGCCAATAGCTAATACCTTGTATCAGGTGTTTGCTATTTAAGGTAGAGACTCTTTTCCTGCATATTTACAGTCCAGTCTGAAGGACCAGCAGACTGGTCTGCACCAATTCTTCCATCAATCTCTGCAGCTCTTAGACGAAACATTTAATTTAATAGACTACTTTGATGTATTTTTTAAACTGTTTTCTTTTTTCTTTCTTTGCCTTTTGTGACAAATTTACTTATTAGAATTACACCTGGCATTAAGGAATGAGTATCTGAAAATGAAATGGCCAAAGAGAAGCATCAAATGTTTTTTTTTTTATAAATATTTATTTCATACACATCCGCATGCAGAAAAGACAGAATATGACCCTTTTTTCTGTTTCTGTCAGGCCTGAGTGGAGTTGAGTATTTCTGAGACGTTAATGCCTGATTCTGCATTTGTCTTTTCTTTCCTTTTAGTGCGCTACAAGATCATGGATAATGGCCACCTGCTGATACGTGGCATCAAGAAGGTCGATGAAGGAATGTATAATTGTGAGGCTCGTGTTATGGCCAGGGGAGAAATTGACTTCCGGATGATAAAGGTCATCGTTAATGGTAAGCACTCCATCTGCGTCTACTTTAGCGCTCAGCATGAGCGCTTTCCCAACAAGTCGCCAGTTTGCTCATAATGGAGGGATGTGATTAGGAAGACTGTCTGTCAGAGGAAATTTGCTCTTTTAAAGCTTAAGATGTGGCTCGTAATATTCGGCATCTGTCCACCTGTCCTGCTGCGGCACTCGGTCTGCTCACGGTTTGAGAAAAGCACGGGCATGTGTTCAGCCTCGCCCCGAGTCTGTGGGAACGCCGCTCTTGATTTTTATTTTCCTCGCTCTGCGGTTTTTGATAATTAGACGGTGGCTTCACTTCAGCTTTTAGTCCAAATCACCCCAGGCAGAGGTTCATAGAAGCATGAAGGATTTTTTATCACAAATATTAATCAAAAACTTAGGAGTGATCATTAACATTACCTGCAAGCTGACCTGTAACTTGCTTTCCTCTAACTTTTTGTCTTCTTTCTGTTTCAGTTCTTCCCACAATCCGTGCCAGGAAGTCTGAAGTCAACGCCACAGCAGATGTTGGTGAATCTGCCCTGTTGGCCTGTGACGCAGACGGCTTTCCTGAGCCCACCGTTACCTGGGCACAGTATGTCATTTTCCCTTTTTTATTAATGAAAGCACTATCAGTAATCATTGGCTTTAGGTCACATCAGACTACATAAATACACTGTGGGGAAACACAAAGTTTAAGTTGGGGGGGGGAATGACTAAGTGTAGTGTTTTTAAGGTCACATGCCTGAGCTTCTCTGCAGCTTAACACAGTTGTAGCTTATTTTGAGAGAGACAAACAAAAGGCCGTCACTGAAGAAGATGATGTGATGTTTCCGATCTTATTAATGAGAAGTTTAGTGGAAGGAAAAAGAATATTTAAAAAGACAGATCTCTACATAAAATGGCTCGATCAAATAATTTGGGTTTCACATTTTTAATTGAAGTATTTGAAGTAAATTAACTTTTCATTGTTCCATTTATTTATTTATTTCTCAAATTTCTTTCACAAACTTGTTTTTTTTTTCTTTTTACAGTAATTAGTTTTAAATAAAATAATTTAATTCACTAGTTTTGATATTTGATTTTTTGTGAGATAAGTGAAAGAAATAACACAACTTCATCCACACATTCTGTAATAACGTGGTCATAATCCCAACTAAATGTTCTAAAACAGATGAACAGAGACAGTTTAGCTTCCAGGCTTTTGGAAAAATAGGTATTAGAAATAGAGATGAATCCAAGCCTCTGCGGTCCAGTTGTCTGTGTCTCAGTAAGATCAGTTTTTGTAGGCTGCTAAAGGTGTTTGAGCAAAAGTCCTGCGCAGTGAACCCGCTGCCTTTTCCTTTCTTTTCCCACCTCTACAGTAACAACATCGTCCTTGAAACGGGCGACAAATACAGCTTGAACGAGGATGGCTCTGAATTGGTAATAAAGGAAGTCAGAAAGGTGGATGAAGGAGATTACACTTGCATCGCCAAGAACAAGGCAGGAGAGAAAACCGAGGAAGTCAGCCTGAACGTGTTCGGTAAGGGAATATCTTCATTCCCGTACGTTTTTTTTTTTTCTCTCTCTCTCTCCGTGTCATTCTGGCCTTCCCTGTCGCACTCATTGACATTTACTGCACACTCCTTTCACAGCTTTTCCATTAGCTGGATGTAGCCGTACACAACATGAAGTGCTCAGCATGCCCTGTTGAAAAGTGATTAAAACACCCTTCAGGTCATTTTAAACATGTATCAGTGTAGACTTTGACCCTAGAATGTAACTAACGCTGATTAAAAAATCTCTCCGAAACCTTTAGGCGCCCTAATGCTAAACTAAGCCACCAAATAGATATTTGTTTTAAATAGGGTAATCAAATATTAATAGAAATTTTAAATACACCAATGTACTAAATTAAAGAGCTACAGTATTTCTCCTGTTTACGAGACATCTGGTTGTCACCTAGTCACGTGTAGTTTCAAATCTACAGGAATCTGATCTGTAAAAACCGAACTGGGTTATTTGTACAGTACATAGAAATTGTTGAAACATATTTTTAAGGCAGGTATTGATGGCACTGATAGAGGGTTATACTTGGACTGAAATATTCTACAACGATTCAAGAAACCTTTAGCCTTCGCTTTGTGGAATAAGGGAAATTTTATTTTATTTGACATATATTATAGATGTATGGCAGAGCAGAGCAGCTGGGTGAGATGGAGGAGGATGCTGATCAGACGATCAGCAAAACAAAATATTCTACTGATTAGAAACTCATTTTCTCTTACAACTAATTTTTGTCACTTTTAACAAATGTGTAAGCATAACATTTTCAAACAAGATTCAAGTTTCTTTGGATCATTTATCAGATTTTTATTCATCATATTTCTGCAAGCTCTGCTATGATTAAATCTGTAATTTAGTTACTCATGATTTCTATTGGTTTATTTTCATGGATTTATTATATTAATCTAACAATTTTGAATCGTGTTTAGTTAATGTAATAAATTATTAGTTTTTATTGTTTGTAAAACCAATTTGTTTTTGTTTTTTTGTATGTTTTTATTTACCCACATTTTCCAAACTTTTCTTCCCAGACATTTATAAACTTCAGTCTAATTAGCTTACACAAGGCTTGTCACAGAAAATCAATCATTTGTAGTTATTAGAGAAATTCAGTTTTGAAGAGGATGGAAAAGCTCTTAAATAAATAAGTGAACAAAGACTATACATTGGTTTGTTTGTCTTTATTGTAGCATTTTAAGTAACTTGAATGTCATAAACAGTAAAGTGTAAATAAGCTGCAGAAATCTGTTCAGTGTTCAAACATTTGTTTCATCAGACATGCAGCTTCCAGAGGAAACGTCTGTATCAAAACTAAATTACTTTTAGACTTGTTTTGTTGCCTCAAGTATCCCCCTCCCCCCAAAGAAGGGGGCAAATTTAGATTGGAGAGACGCTAAAACTTTGTGAAGGCAGAGCGTTTCCACAGAGTGAAATCTGAAGGGTAGACTGCAACAAACAACACCCCCCGCTGTGTCCTGAGCGGAAAAGCATTAATATGTTCTGTTCTGTTTCCAGTGCTGCCGAACATTACCTACTTCAACAACCAGACTGCCTCCGAGTTTGATGACGAGGTCACCCTGACCTGTGAGGCCTCGGGTGACCCCACGCCCACCATCTCCTGGAGATTTGGAAACAGAGTTTTCACTGAAGGAGAGCAGGTACGGCTTGTTATGTTTCACTTTTCACTTGATAAGGGGGAAGCAGTCCTGCCATTAGCAATTTTCTAAATGTTTCTCATTATGCACAGAGATCAGAGCATCATGTAGGAATACTTCTTTTTTTTTTTGACCCTGTTGGAGAGGATATAAAATGTTTCCATGCCTTTCTTGAAATCGCAAACGCTTATGAATCATTCAGACATTTTGTCGTACCATTTTTATGTATCATTTACCTGAAAAACAAATATGTTTCAGGGAAAACGTTGAAAAGCTGCAACAACCTGTTTGCATCAATATGCACAGCCTTAAACTGGCAATTGAGTTTCAGAATCCAATGAAAGTTCAGCTTAGTTTGCAGAGAGAACAAAGATTTCTAACTTTTATTTATTCTCCTGAATGACCTTTGGAAAGCACTGACCATGTGGCTGACTGTTATATATAAAGCTATTTAAATCAATAAATGAAATGAATAGACTAGAGAAGCAACTGATGCGATGTCGTGACAAAATAAAATGAGATGAACACACAATGCTCACAACTCATCATTCCAGGAAAACCCTTTAACTGCCTTCATCAATGGCCATGCTAACAAGCCTTAGCATTCACTGCTTGCTCTGCTGTGGGGAAGGGTCTGAGAGCGCATACATGAGAGTGATTGACAGCACCAAGACCCTCCTCCCTGCTCTGATTGGTTCTTAGTAAAAGAGTTTGATTTCCAGTACAACATTTACAAATTATGTCTCATACCATGCTATTGCATTTTTTTCATTTACTAGTCTACATTTGTGTAAAAAAAAAAAGACAAAACAAACAAAAAAAAAAACATGCATTTTATAAAAATTACCTACTACAACTTTTCAAAGAAAAAACTTCTTAGTGCGACCAGGATGTGTTCATTTGATCATTGATGATCAATTTTTTTTTCTTTTTTTCTTTCCCAAACTGTTTTGACTCCATTTGAAATGTTCAGGATATAAAATATGTCATGTCACACAGGGAAGGTATTTCTAAAACGGTTTATCATGCGCTAACTCATGTGCGTCACAAGCGCCTGACAACAGGGGTGTCTTTAATACCAGTGTTTAGCAACTTTAAAGATACACTAAAGAAACTCAGAGATATGTCATTTATCACAATGTGAATCCAGTACAATTATGCTATTTTGCTGTTCTTGGGCATAATCACTTGGAATGCCTGGTGAAAACAAGACATGGCTCAGTTCCAGCAGACACATCACAGTCATTTAGTCACCACTCTCCTCTCGGTCTTTATTCCGTCTTGAAAATGACTTCAGTAAACTGTATCTCCATCGTTTCCCATCCAGCAGGACAATCATCTCAAATTGTCTCGCTTCATTTCGTACGCCGACCTGCAATCATTTCATCAGCTGAATTTGCTCATTGTAAACTCCGGAGTCTAACGGCTCTCTAAACTCGTCACGGTCTTCTCTGGAATGGTTTTAATTTTTAATAGATTTCATAGTGAATGCCAGAGGCAAGTGTGCAGTTTGCTATAAAACCAATTTCCAGGCAGTTCTGTGCTGTGATACTTCCCAGTGTTAACACTCCATCTATCCCTGTTCTGTGGAGGTTATTAGCTCCTATAGAGGCTGTTTTTGTGGAAGTGCTTTGAGAAGACCCTACAGGAAAATTATGCGTGAATACTCTAAAAAGGTGAAAATTAATTTTGTTGACATTACTCCTAATTATTGCTTTTATTCAGGTTATTTTTGCCTGCCTGTGCTCATCCGCCGAGTGCTATAATGACCCACTTTAGAAATGAGTGGGCTCATTTTTTGGAGATGATGATCATCAGGGAAACTAGATTACGGTTGTGGTTTTGATTTATTAATATTTTTAAACGTGCATTTGCTTAAGAGCAACAGTCCTGCAACTTTTAGATGCGTCTCTGCTCCAAAGCAGCTGAACCAAATGATCAGATCAGCTCCTCAGACTGGCTTCAAGTCTGACAAAGGCCAGTAATGAACCGTCTAAAAACGGCTGTAGTTCAAATATGACATGGTGCACTTCATTTCAAAATGCAATTTAAAAAAAAACACATTTTAATGGAAGTACTCAAACTCACATAACAAGACTACTTTGTATCAAGTTAGAAAGAATCAAAGGCATTTCAAATCCAATTAAAATAGAAAAAAAATAAAAAAATAAACAATTTAAACCAATTTATAAAATAATGCCGTTGACAAATACTTGTCTGTCTTAGTAATCCTGGCTGCTTTTGTCAATGTTGCTGGCTTTGTAGTTTGCATGCTGACCATGCATGTGGTGACAGTGGAGAGAAATGGCCCCTTTAATTGGGGAGAAACCTCCAGCAGAACAAGGTTCAATATGATTCAGTATGAGCTACAAGATAAACACAATACACTAAAGGACTTAACTAAGAGAACTTTCTACAGAAAAGCAAAAAAAGAAAGTACACAAAGATTACAACAATATCACACTTAATGGCTCTGTTCCAGAAAAAGAAGTGATCCTGGGATACGTACACAAAGTATTTCAGCAAAGGATTCTTCCCAACAATTGTTTCAGTTGCTTAAATGAACACATTCAGTTTTGTGTGTTGTTGCACTGTTACAGTTCAGGAAATGTTCTAATAAAAAAATAAAAATAAATAAATAAAAAAGATGTTTTTTTTGGAGGCTCTGCTGGTAAAACTAATTTCTGTTTCTCCAAACTGAAGTCAGCCAGAGGAAGGTGAGATTCATAACCTCTTTATCAAACTCTCTCTCCAAAGAATTGAAACTGTCTCTTTAAAAGGTGAGAACTGTGGGTAGCACTGATCACTGCACTGTGGCATCAGCGTCTCATCCAAGTGTTGTTCCTTATTAAAGTTTGGTAGTGTTAAAAAAATATCCGTCACAACAGTCTGTCCTGACAACATGTGAGCAGCAGATGGTTGAGTTGCTTCAGAGGCTGCAGTAAGAACCATAATCACCCTGCTGCAGACTTAAAAACAAACATCGGTTTGTGTTCCAGCTTATATAAAACAAAATGGCTGATATAAGATTATACAAGCAATAAACGCAAAGTGCCAGTTTCTCATGCATCAACAGTTCAGACTGAGCAGCTTGTCTCCTGATGGTTGGACACTACATGAAAAGAAAACACAATTTGGCACAAAATATCCTCGGAACTCTTGGTCTTTGAGGCCACTCCGTCAAAGCATTTTTATCCTGCATCATGAGATGTGATTATTATGTAAATGATGCTTCACATGATGGAGGCATGAAACGGCAGCTGTGTTATTCTTGGCACAGTGCACAGTCAGTGCACTGAACACCTGTCCTGTGGCGTCCCAGAGGATGTGCAGATATTTAGGCCACAGTGGCCTACTTTGCTTTTCATGCCTTGTCCGCTGGTCTCCTGTGATGGATGATGGGCTAAAGCTGCAGCACGAATCACATTTTAATATCGAATTCAGATCTGAGAAATTAACCAAACGATCATTGGTCTTGGTTAAGACAATGGGCTTTACTGTAGAAAGAAAGAGTTAGAATATTAAATAAATGAATCATAAAATGTAGTCATCATATGCAAATAATGTAAAGCAAATAAAAAAAACTGACATGATAAAAGTAAATTAAAAATAAAAGCTTAATTCTACAAAGATGTCTAGACAGCTAGATGAACTATCTGGTTTCTTGTAAACGCTGTGCTTTTTAGCCTCATTGATTCTGGTGAAGGCTGTAATCTGACCAACACACTCACCCAGTGACCACATAGTGACTCTAAACCTGTAGCTGAGTGTCATCAGCACTAATATTCTCAGAGACATTGTACTCCATACTCTGAAACAAGAGTAGCACATGGAAGTTGAATAAAAGTGGTCAGAGAACGAAACCTTGAGGAACCCCTCATGTAATCTGTGTTCACTCTGATTTCTAACTACTAAATGACTAAAGCAGCTCCATTTGAGTAAGAAGGATTGGAACCAGTTTAGCACGATACCAGACAATCGCATCTGTTTCTGAAACTGCTTTTTGTAAAATTCCTGCGAAAAATGTAAGGCTATATATGAGTCTGTAATCATTTACAACTGTGGTTTGATCCTCTGTAGATCACACATGAAAAGAAGTGCAACCTGCTGGTATTTAAATATCATACAATCCTTCATGAAAGTTTTAGAAGGCATAAACGATGATCAGAAACTTTTCTCCAGATACGAATCTCCAGCCGCCATCCTTGGTATAGAATATTCCAGACATTTAGTGTCTTTGACACAGCTTGCACATCCCCAGTTTTCTCTTATTAACCGTGCAATTTATCACTGCCAGAAAGTGGAAGCAGTCACGGCTGCATTGCAAGTTTCTGAATCTTATCTTCCACCTGCACGACAGTCCTCGCCTTGCCCATCGCTGCTCACAGTTGTCAACAAATGTCCCCCATTCACAGCCTGTCACAACCCGCCTTTATTCCTATTTATCACTGTCACAAATGTTTCGATTTTATGTTGGCGCACTCTGAAATTTCCTCTAATCATGTGGTGATGGTTCTGTAATTTCCACTGGATTGTGATTCATTATTAGGCTTCTGTTTATGACACTCTGTCGTCTGTTTTCACATCCATCAGACTTGAAGAGGACAGTTTCATTCGTAATGATGTCCAACAGAAGTGCAGTAATTTAACATAACAGCCTCTACTTTTTTTTTTTGTTTTGTTTTAAATTAGTCTTTTTTTGTATTATTGTTTTTTAAGAAAAGCACGCTCTGACATCACTGTACAACTTCAAATTTAGGATTTCCATCGTCAAGTTGTGTTTCCTGGCCCACCCTGGAAGCAGACAGCGCTGCTATTAAAGGAAACGCTGATTAGGAAGAAAACACGTCTAAATGCCTGCAGCGGCTCACCTGTAATTAGTTTCATTGCCTTTTTTCCACAGCGTGGCCAATTCCTTTTTATGGTACATTAATTAATAAGCAGCTAAGAAGGTCCCATTCAGCATAACAGAACTAAGCTCCACTCTGGCGTTCTAACTGGAGCTGCTTGGTCTCCGTTTGCAGCTCTGATTCCCTGATTCCACCTGAACATCCATTCAGATGAGAAAATAAATCTTTACCTCTGATTAATGTTCAATAAAATGTTCAATAAAATTAGATTAACTGCAGATTGGCAGGCGTGTTGTTTGATCTCGTTTTAGGTGTTTATTCTGCGTTGTTCTCCAGAATATTCTGGAGCAGAATAAGCTTGGTTAAACTTTTATTCAGTAAAATGTTCTTACTTGTTACCATAGAGACTCTTTATATGTGATGACAGTTAGGATGATTTCTGTCTGTGTTTGAACTACAGTCCTCAGCAATAAAGGTGACTTTAGTTCAGTTTTTTTCTGTTACTGCTTCATTTGCTTTCAGGTACAGATACTAGGTCATAGTGTTTTTAGAAAATTAAGCGCACCTTTAGAGCAATGAAAACTGCTCTAAAGGGAAAGTTTTCATTGCTCAAAAGCCTCGTGTGCAAAGGATTTTGTGTACAAGTTCTTCTTACTTCATCCGAAGTGTAGAAATCGACTGTCATTGACGTCATCACAAAGCAAAAAGCTGGATGAGGCCTTGAGCTTCTCTCTGCACCCCACAGCATGGGGGAACCTGGGGAGGAAGGTAAATTAGCATCTCTGAGGTTCACTGTAGCAGAACGACGGCAAAGAATCACCAAGTCTGCTTGACAACCAAATATCTGAAGGCCTTTGTGTGCTGGGGTTGCTCTGTTTCTCTGTGAACGATCAGTTTTATGAAACAGGAATGAAAATAAGACGATCTCTATTGAAAATCGCCCTTTGAGTTTAGCTGAAATAATTACGCTCTGCAGTCAAGACCTGTTGCACAATTTTCTAACTCATAAAGCAATTCAACGGATTTTTAATACTGTTTTTAATATATTCTAACAGCCTAAACACGAGATGTACTTTGATGTTTTTGATGTCAGAAAGTAATTTTCATGGAACTTCAGCGTCCTGCACATGAGACGTGCATTTTGGTGCTGAAATATTCAGAATGAGGGAAATCCATTCTGCCGTCTGTGGATCCTGCCTCACAGCTCATTCACTCCTCTGTTTCTGCCTTTGCTTCCTCTGTCTTTGTTCTTCCCAGGCATCTTGGACGCGACCAGACAAATATGAGGTATTGCCAAAAACTTCATAGCCCAAAGTCAACTAATAATACCCTGAACTTACACCCCAGACTTCCCCTCCTGTTAACATTTCCATCGCAGAGCAGAGGTGTTGTAATTTAGCCTGCATTTAATATGCTTTAGATTTTAGCTGTACACTTAATGTGTAGGTCATTAGGCACGTAGTGCAGTTCATTTAATCCAATTAGTTCCAGTACACATTTAGACTTACCCTATTTAGTTGTCGCTGTTTGTTGTTGTTGTCGGCAGACTTGATCTCGCGATGGAGGCGCGATCTGAAAGCAATCTGAGCTATTTTCTCCTGCTGCAGGGTCTGCTTAGTTCTCGGCCTTTAAAATCATTTTTGGGAAATGAAAATAAAGACTCCTGCTTTTTGTTGTAGACAGATCAGGAAGCCGGCGGCATGGTGCTGAATAAACCACGGTCTGCTCTGCTGTGAGCAAGCCGTGAGTTGAACTCGCGTAAATCCTAACACAGTGCTAGAAAACGCTGCGCCTCCTGTTAGGGGCCAGGGGCCGGCGTGTTTGGCTTTAACTACACACTTGGGTGACTCTTTCAGTCATTTGGAGCCTGACTGTGAGACAGTATGTCCAGATGACAAAGATGTCTCTCCTTTCCCGAGAGGTGTGTGTGTGCATTTTTTAGTTTTTCCTTCTCCAGTTTTTCAGATGCGTATGTTAGAAGAATTAGTTCAATTTTGTTAGCGACAACATTTATTTTCTTCTGACTGAAAGCATTAAAAGTGGGTTAAATCAGGATTGAAGCTGGATAGGAAGGATCATTTGGACAGACAGTGAAAAACTCTGAGGCTTTGGTAGAAAGACGTGGAGCGTCTCCACAAACCAGAGGAAAAGATCTAAATAATAGATTAGCTGGACACTAACAACCTCACTCATCCCACTAAAAATACACGTGTACCTCAGTTAAACTAGCACATCACTGAAAAGTGAATTTATCTCAGTAATTCAGTTCAAGAAGTGGAACTTGTTTTATCTGAAAAGTGAAATATTAACTTTCTCACAAAGTTACAGTATTACATCAGCCCAATATAAAAAAAAAACAACAAACAAAAAGAAAACTCACTGTTCGGTTTGGGCTCCTTTCTCATCAATCAATGCATCAGTGCGGCGCTGCCTGGATGAGGTCAGCCTGCGGTTCTGCTGAGGCGTTCAGGAAGCCCCGGTTGCTTTGACTGGACCTTCAGGTCATCTGCATTTGTTGATTCTCATGTCTCATGTTTGGACAGTATTTGGACAATATTGCATAGATTTTAAAAGTCAGACCATTTTGCTGGTGTTACCATAGTGATTAATTAAACTGCTTTGTGTAGAATGAATCTATGTTAAATAAATTCCAGTTTTTTAAACTGAATGACTGCAAAGAATGGTTTTCTAATTATATTTACCGCCTGCTAGGTGCATCTGTGTTACTAAGACATAACTCCTCATGTACTAAGTGTCACCACATGCAGAATCCTAACATCTCTTTATAGAAAAACATACAATTAGCTTCTGACCTGTTTTAATTAAGTCATGAACCCACAGGGCTGTAGATAACCACCAGGATGCTTAAATTATAGAAAATTATGTTTCTGTTTGACACAAAGGAATCCCAGAGTCTGACCATGACCGAGTCACCATGGTGATTATTTCACCGGATCAGATTTATGGATTTGTGGGCCAAATGTACATTACATGCAGTATAATTTAATTTTTAGTGGCTTTTTTTTTTTTTTTTCCCCCCTCTAAACCACAACCCCGTGGTCACTCTGGGACATGAGCAGAATATGGAGTTTATGCACAAATATCTTTTTTCCGAGCTAACAGTATTTTTTTTTCCTTGTAAAAATGTTTTTCATGACTTTTATTTTCTAGATGGTTTGAGACCCTCTGGTCTACATGTCATTTTCTTCCTATTTAGTTTTGTGTATTTATTGTATCTCTAACATGTTTGGAAACACAAGGCATCTTAATGATCAGATAATAATACAACATGTTCTGTATTTCTATAAATTAGGTAAGTGATCTTTCCATCAGATGGGTGAAATATTTCCAATACATTCTGTGAAAAAAACCGTTAAACACCCAGAGACAATCATACCATTTGGTAAGAACTTGAATGAATTTGGTGATGAGTGTATATTTAAGAATTGGTTTCCAAGGAGCTGAAGCAGTCTTAGTAGACTCAACTGGTGGCACAGTGAGTGCAGATAGAGTCACAGGCAGTTTCTGGAGCATCAGACGGTCAGTCAGACAGTCAGACAGTCAGACAGTCAGACGGCCATCTTAGAGGTTGGCATGGAAGTACATCAGAATTCGGTTGTTTTGAAACTAGATTGTCACAGTAAAATCGGATATTTTTGTACTTAAATGTAGAAAACAATGTGTTTAAAAAGTAACAGAGAAGAAACAAAGTGAAAGGGCCTAAATAGGCACTGAATGGTATTTACAGCCCTTAATGGAGATTAATGACTTCAGTTTTTGCGTTTGCATGAACCCAGGTGGTTCCATTGTACGATCAGCTGGAACCTTAATTTCTGGCAATGTTGTCATTTGAGTATATGGGCCATCCTCTGTGTCCACTGACCTTCACCAATATGGCTGACTTCACCATCTGCCTGTAACTCTCTCTCTACTCACATTGCCGCAACTTGTGTCAGATGTGCCAACCAAATACAGGTCAGCTCTGTCCAATGCAGTCCAGTCATAAAGTTTGAAAAATATATATATAAACAAGTTTATTTTACTTCACAATTCTCCACTACTTTTTAGATCCCCCAATAAAATACACTCCTTGAGAAACTATTATTGAATGGGTATGAAAAGAACTGCAGGTTCCCTGTACAGTCATTTTAGATCCTAATTACAATTTGGTTAAATCAGATGAATCCTTTAAACTGATTTAAAGGGTCTAATGTAAAATAGAAAAAAAAATAAAAAACATTATGCAAGAATGTCTACAGCTGACTGGTAGAACTTTTTCTCTGGCTGAGAGAATGGCAGATGACCGGGTTAAAGTATGATCATGACTGCAGTGCTATTCCTCTCTGTTTTCATTGTATTTCTAAGTTCCCTTTAAGAAGCAAAGGAAACTTGACCTTTAAACAGGAGCTTGGTTTGATCAATAATAATCTGCTTGTTAGGAGACACTGGGTTAAAAGTGCTGGATGGTTCAAGTGATATTTCATCAACATTAGAAAAGGTCAAACAACCATCATATATATTCCACATGGATTTGGATGGACCAAACGTGACTGTAATATCAACTTCATGAAGAGGTAGCACAGAATCCATGGGTATACTTCATCAAAACTGAAGGATTTAGAGATTTAATTAGATTTAAAAGTACTCTAAAATCCCAGTCATTACATTCACATATCTTCAAAGAGTCATTGTGGACTGTGATGTTGCTGAGTGTTGGACTACTCTTTTAGGCAGCTGACCAGAAGTGCACAGCAATAAGTCAGGAGAGACAGCTTACTCCACCACTTCCTCTTGCGTCTCGTCAGAAAGACTTCAGCTCTTTCTGATAGAAAGAGCTTTTTGTGCTCCACCTACATCTACTGGATAAAAAAAAAATCCTTTAAAGATTGACAAGGAAGTATTAGCATAAATTAAGCATATGTAGATTGAACATAGATTAAGCTTCAGTCTACAACTTAAATATCCACAGGTCTTCTGAATAGAGAAGGACTTTTATATTGCCAAGATTCGTTTTTTCCAGAATCTGGTAAAGTTCTGGAAGAAATAATTTCTTCATATGCCGCGTGTTTCTGACAGTACTCCTAAGACATGCAGAATCGGATGCCTGTTTCTAGGATATTTTAATTTAGTTTGCCAACCTAAGCTTGTGCTAAATGCTAATTTCTCTCAAAGGAAAAAACATTTGAATAAATAAAAAAATAAAAAAAATCCCTGTAGCGAGGTTCTTGCTGTTTTTGGAAAAACAAAAAAAAAAAACAAGTTTGATTCATTTCTTGTTCTTAAATTACACCCAAACATCCATGACCCCAAACAGGAACAACCAGCTGTGTTAAATGAATGCATGCATCTCCAGCTCATTTGACCCAAGGCTCTGACTGTAAACAGGGATGAAATGTGTTTTATACAAATATATATTCCATGTTTTTAACTCTGCTATTCAATAAGTCACATTTTCAGCAGAGCAGTTTCATTTATGTTTTGACTTTTTTTTTTTATGTGAGACGTTCTATAGAATTGAGAAGATTTTTTTTTTTTTTTTTTTTTTTTTTTAGTAAAAAATATTTAAAAGTTGCTTACATGTTTATCAACCTCAACAATGATCAAACAAATCCTAAGTTTGGTAAAAGCCTGCATGATGATGGTATGGCTTTAAAAGCGTCACTGACACAACAAAAACCACAAACATGATTTAACGCAGCAATAGATTCATTTTAGCAACGAACGCTGTATTTTCTGTTTCTGTTTTGCTGAAAAGAATTGCTGTAATTTATCTCTGCAGGTGTTTTGAGAGCACAATGTTTCTTTTCTATAGTGTGATTTCTGACATTTTAAATAATATACTGGTCATCTCTGAAACAAAATCCCATGAAGAAAACATGGCAGTCCGTACCGTTACTGAAATCAGTTTAACGTGGAATAAAAGCTGATAGATTTACATCTCTCTTTTTTTTTTTTGTTGGAGTCGATAAATTAATTATTTTTAAAGGTCTGCCCATTCACTTCTGTTTCTGCAGTCTCATTAAAGTATTATTCCCCATTAACCTTTCTGTTTTTGCATTTAAACAGCCCTCATGGAGCAAGGGAGACAAGATTAATGCTGCCCTTTTTAAAATGTTTCAGGACACTCCTTTAGATCTTTCATTAAATAACAAAATATTTATGCCACATGTGCATCTCATTTTCCTGCAAAAAAAAAATAATGCTGTAATTCCAATACTGAAAAATAAGGATAAATAAATATAAACAGTAACGACTAAAGCACAGAGTGTGCTTGAATTATTAATGGAACATCGTGGAAGCTGGAAGGAAGATGTATGTCTCCTGCTGGTGTGTGGGAAGAAAAGTCGTTACTGTATTTATAACTACTGGAGTTTTTGTACAGCCATACCATTATTATTCATTTTATATTGCTCTATTGTATGTTTCATTGCTACTGGCTGCTGTAAGTTTTGCTGCAGAATTTCGCGGCTTTCAGAAAGTCTATATCAATGAATCTCACCGTGCTTATATAGACTGCAGATGGGACGGAGAGAGAGGGAAAACAGGCTGCATCATAAACCATCGTGATGTACAGCAAAGATCAAGGATCAGGCCAGGTGCATTGCTCTATTATAAAAGCGAGTGGAGTACTTTGAGTAAACTCGTTTGTCAGCTGCACACCTGTGCAGGAGCTCCGAGTCCTCGGCAATGCGGAATAGCAGCCAGGGCAATAAACAGGATCCTCTAATGAAAATGAAAGAGGGATTTAACAAGCTAATTTCCCTCACTGCTTTTATGCCGCTCCAGCTGTAAGTATGCAGCTTGTAAACCTGCAGAAAGGCCTCTAAATAAGTAGGGACGCTAATCAACTTCAAGAGTTTACTGCTCGGGGCTTTGTAAAACTTGTGAGGCGTAATTCACTTAGAGCCCCTTATAAGTGCAGATAGATCCATACTGTAAGGAATTTGACCAAAGAATTGATACTCTGTGCTTCTTCTTTAATTTTTTTTTTTTTACAGTGTTCTAGTTCTAGTGTGAAGATTTGAACCTTCTTAACAGCAATTTTTAAATCCATTTCGGTCTAAAGTTTACATTTGTGGTGAAAAGACAGACAAACTAACAACTCCAGATTTTTGTACATTTTGTGCAGGTGTTTGGTGGACCCCTCGTATTTGAGGGGCTTAGGGACCTCAGGCAGCATTAATGGCTGAAATCCTCATATGCTTCTGACTTCTCTTTAAAAATGTTTACAACTGTTTATTTCAATGGTTCAAACTACAAATTTACCTTAATATACATTAACATACACAGTGGAAACCATCTTTGTACTACTGCAGAATCTAACATCCACTGGATCCACCAAGGAAAATGAGTGGCACTCCTGGATTGGCCACTTTGCACAGAAAAATCGGCAAATACTTAACTACAAATAGGCCACTGTGCTCAGTTATTCACAAACGTTCCAACTTCCATTTCTACGTTTTTCAGCATCTGCCATGGTGCAATCTGTGGTGTGAGCTTTTGCATACCCATACGTAGAACCTGGTAAAGGCGGGGTAAATAATGTGCTAAATGTTAAAGTGAAGAGGAAAGCATAATGTTTATGATTGTGGTGTTGTTCAAGTTACAATAACATAATAATTAATGCATCGGATATCAGTAACTTCAAACCACCACCAGGTCAGTCAACATTAACTCAACAGGTCATGATGTGTTTGCACAACTAAGTCAACCAAAACATCACTTTGCTTTTCGCTCTCATCTCTTGATTGTAACTGGTTTCTACTGAAGTCACGTGTGTTTATGTGTGTTTAATTCCCTATGTCTTTCTCTATAGAGCCTAGACAGGAACGTCGTAGTACGAAGCCATGCGCGGGTGTCCTCCCTCACATTGAAGGATGTCCAGTTCACCGATGCTGGTCGTTACCTCTGCACTGCCAGCAACTCCATCGGCGAAGACAACCAGCAACTGTTCCTCGAAGTGCGCTGTAAGCCATACGACTTTCTCTCCGCCCTTCAGTTCATAAAGAAACACCAGAGTCATTCATAAATACAATTAATTCATCTATTGAATCGTTTCATGTGACATGCCTGGAAATAAAAATCTTTATTTTTTTAAAGGTGTTTGTTATCTTAACACCTTTAAGTGTTAGATTATTTTGTAGGCCTGAAATAAAATCACAACTTTAGATACAAATAAGGACATAAACAGGAAATGAAATTTTTTCCCAGACCAAACAAATGAAATGGGAACATTCCAGTTTCTGCTCACCTCATTTCATCAAGATAAATGGTTCAGCAGCGGGCCGGGTCAGTGGTACCACTGTGATTTGTTACCAATAGAAACAAAGACCCACTTTCCAACCTCTCTTTAGGGATCTGGTGCCATTTTTAGGATTTTTTAACAGCTGTCTTTTTTTTTTTTTTAGAACGACTCCTTTTTCTTTTGATGCATGTAAAATGTCACTGTGAGACTTGTGGATGACTTGGATTGAGCACTAAACAGAGAGAATTTTGGTCAGGGATGATTTTACAGGGCAGGAATGCCAGAAGATTCATCCAGAGATGATGAAGGCTGACAGCCATCCAGCTACTGACGGATCTCTTCTCAGACCTCCAGAGATACTCTGGCGGGGTGGGGGGTGATGACCATCAAACCTTAAAATCAGAGACACCAGGGCACTATAGCTTTCATCCTCTAAGAAGAACAACAGTGAACCAGATCTTTACCATTGTGAACCTACTGAAGGGGTCATGGCAGTTTGGTTCTCATGTTCACATGTGTTTTGTGGATCTGAGAGAGGATTATGATCCTGTCCTATGAGGGATTTTGTGGATAATCTTGTAGAGCATTCAACTTCAGGGATGCTTTTAAAAACTATCTGGGTGTGTCCCTCTTTTTGGCACTTAGTCGAACTTGTTTCCAGCACAGGTTGAATTAAGGCTACGGATAAGGATAAGAAGGGACTGGTTTGGGAACGTCTGGGTCTGATCTTTGCATTGTATGGTGCAGTTGGCATCTTCAACCCTTGACTCTCGGCGTGCCCCAAAGCTGTTCACATCTACTTCACAAATGCAAACCGGGCAGTATGAGAGTCTCCCCCTCCTGCCTTAACCAGAAGACTTCAAGTATTTGGGTGTCTTGTTCAGAGTTGATAGAAGGATGGAGAGAGAGATGGGTAGGCTGACTGAGGCCATATCAGCAGGAAAGAGACCATGACCATGTCATGGTGAAGAAAGAAGCAAAGCCCTGCGGTTGTTTATGCTCGGACTCTGAGCTACGGGCATGATTTGATGGAAAAGATCCAGGGCACAAGAAGCTGAGATGGACTTTCTCTTCTTTGTGATCTCGGTGGGATCTCAACAATCTTTAAGAGTGAGGAGCTTAGAGTCGAGTCACTGAGGTAGTCTAGGTAGTCTCATAAGAATGCCTCCTGGACATTTTGTGAGCACGTAGTGCTAGAAGGAGACCCCAGGGCAGACTCAGAAAGGACTCTATGTCCTGGAAGGACTCTGTATCCCTGGTGGTTTAGGAACCCTGTGGAAGGAGCTGGAAAGTGAAACTGGGTAAGAGGCATGTCTGAGCTTCCATCCTAGGCTGCCTGTTACTCTTGTAACTAGACCTCAAACAACTGGAAGATAATGAATCAATTGCCAGGATGTGATGGGTTGTTAAAAATCCTGCTGGCTCAATGTGGTTGGCCAAGAAAATTTAATCTAATATTGAGATCTATTCCTAAAAGGAGTGAAAAAGACAATCACTGTCTAATTGGACTAATAATCCCTGAGCCTATTGTGCTTTAAAGTTCAGAGATGTGATCACAATGCACCATTGATGGAGCTCTTTGAGGACTTGCAGTTAGCCAGTGTAATCACCAAAACAATCAGGCAGCTGAATCAGTGTTGCCAGGCAATTATCGATAAGAAAGGTGCTTTGTTTTGAGTGCAGCTCTCACTCCGTGTCCTCTGTCTCCACTCCGCACAATGAAGATGTAATTCAAGTGCTGGGCCATCTATCTGCCACACAGCACGATCCATTTTACTGGGCTGGGTTTATTGAGGTTTGCTGCTGAGAGACTGATACAGTAGCAACCTGGTAAAAAAATGTTTCTCTCCAAGCCTCATTTTCTTAGCCATGCAGGTTTGTTTAGCATTATTGTCTTTCAAATTTGTTTTGTGGTACCAAGTTTCATTTTTACAAACTAGTCTTAACCAAATTTAAATTTTTTAGATCAAGCATTACAAGGGATGCAGCAAAAATACTGGAATGTAATAAATACGATGCTGAATGATGAACGAACGTCTGAGATTGAGACTGAAAATATTTCTATTTCTCCTTTATGAGGCCACTTGGAACCAAGCTAACTATGACTCACAAAAATCCATAGAACTCAGTGGTGTCTTTAGAAATAAAAACACCACAGAGACCTGAAATGCTCAAACATTGGCCCTGCATTGACCTTACCTTTTATCCATTGTGTATGTAGTATGTTCATTGCAGCCATGTTTGGGTTTTGAACTTAGGGTTGCTCAAGGACCTCTGACTTTACATGTTGGAACGCTAATGTCAAGCATCCGCTTTGTTGGCTTCAAGAATTGGGACTTAAACCTTAAATCACCTTGAGTAATTGCTTGAAAATCCATGGGATTGTGCATAGTATTGACTCTTAACCTGTGGCAGACTTCTTGGAACATAATAAGTGCCAAGAGTGGTCATTGGTTTTCAATTGGCAACTGATGTCTGGGATATTGCTTTAATAATGGAAATGAATAAGCAGCATAACAGAAGCTCCTTGGATTAAAAGGTTAGAGATTTTACAAATTTGTAAATCAATAACAACCCAAATGATGGAGCATACAAGTCGATCATCTCCTGTTTAGGAATGAATCTGTTTGGAATATTTCCAGATGTTTCATGTGTTCCGTCTTTTCTTTCTATTCCTTTAGATTCTCCAAAGATCATGGGCTCAGTGGCAGCACACACATGGGAAGGAAACCCAGCCAATATTTCTTGTGAGGTGGCAGCCAACCCCAGAGCCTCGGTGGTTTGGTTCAGAGACGGCATCGAGCTGCCGACCGCTAACTCAACCAACATAAAGATCTTCAATACCCCAACCATCAGCATCCTGGAGGTGATGCACCAAACATCTTTGTGTTTCTTGCCTGTCCTGATGTACATAAGAATGAAATAATGAAAAAAAAACACTGATAAGTTTTCAGCTTTTTTTTTCTCTCTCTCTCTTAGATCACACCTGAGTCCCAAAACGACTTTGGGAGCTACAACTGCACAGCTACAAATGTGATAGGCTCTGAATCCAAGGAGTTCATCCTAATCCAAGCAGGTTGGTTCACTGAAAACACAAATGGGGATAATTAACATGTCAGTCTACATGGACAATGAGTCAGTGCAATAAAAGCAAAAACTTCAGCATTCAACAAGGAAGAATGTTAGAATCTGCTACAAGGAGCATCGTCAACGAGTTAGGCATCAGCCAATGAATGCACAGCATAATAATAAAGAATGAGTTACATTTATCATCCATTTTCACGGCTGCAGGAAAATAAAATTCTGCTTTGTCCCCCTATAACTAAAAGTATGCATTATGTTTGTTTCAGAAAAGTGTGAACAGAAAGTAAAGTTGCAGGGAACCTTGAGATGTTCTGCAGCTCCGTCTGAGCAGCAGTCAGTGAGAAAAATACTGAAATCACAGCAGGCTCTGCCTCTAAAGTCTTTTCTTCTCCTCTGCTGTGAATTTGGTCAGGCCTAGCTTCATTCTGCATGCAAATTGCTTTGGAGCCCTTGCAAACGATAGGTCGCTCAGGATCTCTAAATGGTGTGTGGCCGAATTAATTGTGGTGACACCCTCGGTGCCATTGTGTTATATCCTGTGGGCTCTTTGAGGTAATTTCCTTGCTTCGCTGTAAAACTTCATCAGTATGACTGAAGTGGCTTCCTCCAGTGGCTGGCCCTCCCTGCTTTCTATATGTCTCAATAACATGCACACTGAAAAAAAAAAAGTGTTGGACAATTAAAACATTTAATGTGCTGGAGGATTACACGTTGGAACCCTTCAGAATGCGGACATCAGCAGCAGCTCCAGACTGTTTAAATGATTAGCTTAAACTTATTTCTCTGCACCATTTATAGCTGCTAAAGAGGCTAATGTGGACTGTGTTCAAACAAGATTTAAACCCTAAAGCCTCTCTAGTGCCCCCTAGAGATTACAGCAGTTTTTGCATTGAACATGACAGTTATTCAAAGAGAACATATTGTAGCAGCTGTTTGAATATTAAAGTACAAAAATTAGCATCACTGGGTACAGAGTGTTTCACATTAAACTGTGTTCATCAGTTAGTAGCCTTTCTATTATTAAAGAGATACAAACAAAAGCATATTCTGCTTTAGAAGAGACCTGTACTACACTAGGAGACAGACAGTGCCTTCTGCTTTTATTTCATTTATGTATTTTATTTATTTTTTTATTTTTTTATTTGGAGCAGCTTAATGCTATGCAGAAAACTTTCAAAATGACAAGTCCCACAATTCTTGGTGCCCCTGCTGGTTGCAAATTGAGCAGGCCCCCAGGACAGCACCTAGTTCTCTCCTCTAAAAACTAGCATACAGTTAAACTCAGTTCAGCTTATTTGTATAACACCAAATCACAGCATGTGTTATCTTAAGGCACTTTGTAAAAAAAAAAAGAAATTGAAGTCCAATTAGTTCATTAAGTTCAGTTCATTACTCAGATCAGTCTAAAAAGCTTGCACCGAGTCCTCCTGGATGTAATGACAGTAGACAATCACTTGTGTTGTCATTGACTTTCCAGCAATCCCTCACATCAAGCATGCAAACAGGAAGAAACCCCCAGCTGAGCATCTTTGTTCATTCCTCTTCCATCACCCTGTATCCACTCTGATTTCTTTTCCTCAGGTTTTCTAAAAAGTTTATATCTGTGAACAAGCTTTCCAGTGTCTTTGGCAGAAAATTGACCCACAGCATACCGACTCCTCCATCATGCTTTTCCACACATTAGTCATTGGTTTTGAGAAAAATGTCAGTCTTCCAATTCCAGTTAAAAGTCCTAATAGCATTTAGCAAACGCCATCTGTTTACGTTTGTGATGGTAAGATATAAAATCAGATCAGATGTATCGGTTGTAGTCCTCTGCAGTCCTCAAACAGCGAGGCATGAAAATGTTTTCATCCTCCTCCCTGTGTGTGTGTGATGGAAAGATCACACACACACAGCTTATTGTTTCAGAAATAAGCTGAAGCAATAGCATCAACACACATCCACCTTATCTGAATAAGCATGTTCTCTCATCTTTCCCAACTGTGTAACCACTTAGCGGTGCGCCAGGCAAAGAAGTAGTCATGGTTTACTAATTAAAAGTTTTGAAACAGTATTTTAGGTTATATAATAATAACATTAAGATAAGATTAAACAAAGGTTATTAAATGAAGCCAACATCCACCTGAGCATCTTCCCTGGAGAGAATAAAAACAAAGTTAGCGGCGTCATATGGAAGGTTAGTCTCTGCAGAGCGCTGCTTACGAGACCAAATCACTGAGTCCTTTAATCATGGCTCAAAGTGCATCACAGGCGGGATCTAAACTGTTGCTGGAAACTCATTATGTCATGTCTAACGGCTCCTCTGTCATTTGGTGACCGGCGTGTTTGTGGCTCCTCGGTGGCATTAAATGCAGTTCAGCTGCAGCAGCAAGCACAGGGAAGGTCTAATGAGACAAACATGCAGCCTTGTTATTAAAGGAGGACCTAATTTCTGATGTTTACCCAAACAGAGGTATCACTTCTGCAAACTGCTGCTAACCTCAGGGTTCAAATCTTTCTGAATTAAGGTGTTAAACTGATTCCCTCTCCTGCACACAGTCAATTACTGACATTTATTTTACACTTTCCTAAAACTTCACTCCCAAAAATGGCAAAACAATAATTTTATCCAATAACGAACTTTTTCAATCTGAGGTTAATTGTTTTGTTTTGTCGTTGCTACAGAGGTGCCGTCGTCCCCTAAAATTGAAGAAGTGCAGCCGTTCTCCAGCACGGCGGTGGTGGAGTTCGAGGAACCGAACTCCTTGGGTGGAGTGCCAATATTAAAGTACAGAGTGGAATGGCGTTTGCCTGGGAAGGAGTGGAAAAGTAAGGAGTACAAAGCTGAAGACGGTGAGCATTTTTTTTTTATCTCCCTGGAATGCATCTCCAACTGGAAATGAAACTCAGAGAGCAGCAGGAAGATTCATTCTGGATTTTTCACTGTGTTTGATAAAACAGCATGTAGACTGCTGCAGACACACAGTTCTGCTCCATGAGGTTCAGTGTTGAGGTAAACAGAGAGTCGAGCCTTTCCTACATTTCCTCCCGAAAGTTGCTTAAAAAATGTATCGTAACAAAGCGCAGCAGCTATTGCAAGATGCCCCGGGTGATCAATTAACTCACGTTCAGCCCTGTTTTATGATTTATCACACATTGGAGCTGACATCAGAACCTTGTACTTAAGATCTCAGATAAAGCTTCAGTTGGTTTCATCGGACCACCCAAAAATTGTTGCTTAGTTTTAGTAAATCTTTCTCCGAAAGACCATTTAGTTGTGCTTTCTTTTTCTACAGCTTCCTCCATCTACAGTAACTTTTTCCATGAAATCTGCTACATTTAACTTTTAATCAGCCTTTGGGATCAATAAAGAATCTTGAATTGAATTTGAATTGCTATGATCTTGTGACGATATTGTCAGCACCCAAACAGTAGTAAATATGTAGACATTTTCTGTTTGCATATCTACTTATGGACGTCTATGTTGTGCATCAAGATCTGCAATTTGAATGTAGACCTTAAAACAAACATCTGTCCATGTAATGAAACAGTTGCTGTTTACATATTTAATAATTGACTAACTGAACCCTTAAAATCTTTCTGCCAGCTGATATTTACATGAAATTACCCAATTATGATTTTGTTTCTCCATCACGATTACTCTGCTGCTGCATAGTTATTATTTAGCTCCAAGTGGAGAAGCTTCTCTTCTCAGTTTCGAAGTGCTGAAGTGTTTCTGTACAGCCGTTTGGTATCAGCAGGTAATCCAGACATGACAGTGGCTGACGTCAGGACAAGAGGTAGAGCACAGTGTAGTGTAAATGACAGCGGGTTCAGATGCTGACAGGCCCCAGATAATATCCCTGTCCCAATGACGGCTCGCAGCGCACACAAATCTGGATGCTTTTCGTCTCTCCTGCCACATGGGACGTATCAGTCAGCGGCTGACAGGCTCAGCTGTCAGCGCCAGGCCCGAGAGCCGCCCGTCATGCAAACATGTTCGCGAAGCCCAACACGCGGCTGAACAGCAAATGCCACCGAAATATCTCAGCCTTTGCCAGGCTTCTCCACCGCAGAGAAATTGGAGCGCTTTTCAAAGCAACGAGACATTTTCCCGAGCCTTGTTACGTTCTGAAATCAGACAGAGCAAACTAGGAGCTGTTGGAGCAGCAAAATGCCAGGGAAGAAAAGAAGCAAAGTGTGGCTGATAAAGAATTATCAAGTGGCGGAGTGTCTCAGCAGAGAGGCTTTTGTATGTGAACCGGAGCCGCCGTCACATGTTTTAAAGGCAGAACTGTCAGACGTAGCTGGCTCACCCACCACAGTGTAATCACACAGCGCCACCATGTTAGCATACGCTAATTAGAGAAAGCTCCAAATGAACAGACAGCCTTTGCACAGAGCTGCCTTCACATTACAGTACAGCTGGATTATCTGTGTTGGAGAAACTATTTGTCTTTGTAGCTGAATTTTAAAGCTGGGATTTGAACAAACTACATTTTGCTCTTCGGCTTTAATATGTGTCTAAAGTCTGAAGTGTGACAACAGAAGCTAGAATTGCTCTAGTCATGGTGGCAGCCATTCTGTTAGTCCTTTCCTATGCTCTTGTTTGTCATGTTTTTGGTTGAGGTGTTGCACATTTAGGATGTTTTTCCCTCTGGTTTTGTATGTTGTGCAGCTAGAAAGATGTTTGCTCTTACTTTTTTACCTTCAGATGAGATGTTGTCTTTTTTTTTTTTTTTGCAACCAGAAGCTGGTAATTAGCATCTCTACAAGTTCAAATAGCACCTCAACTTTGACCCCAAGTCCCAGAGGAAAGAAGGCTTCATGGGTGCAGAGCAGAGAGAGAAGGAGGAAGTTTAAACTGTCATCAGACAGAGATCTAAAGAGGAAACGGCAAAAGCAAATGAGGTTGATTAGCAGTGCTAGCCAAAAACTGATGGTGTCACTCAGGACATGTTTGTGTAAGAAGATAGTCTCTGCCACATATTGACTTGTTGGAATGTTATTTTAGTCTCTACTGTCATACTGCAACAGTCTTCAGTCAGAGGCTTCCTTACATTTATGCAAGACTGTCCGCTACTGGAGATCCTTCCACTGACAACAATTGTTTGAAGATACTTGGGCGTTATGAGTTATGATAATATTTTATTTTGCTTTTTGATAAACAACATATTTTCAAATGAATTCAATCTACAATATCCCAGAGATCACTGTGTTTCTTCAGGCACCAGAGCAGAATCTTTCATTTTAAATTGTGCTTTTCTCATATGCTCAGAATTAGACTGATTAATTAACAGTAACATGTACAGGCGTCGTCATCCTGCAGCATAAGGATTGTCTGTCACAGCACAGAGGCTGAATTTGTAGCAACTGTGAGGTTCTGTGGAGATAATCTTTTCCAGAAGCAGCAGGAACCAAATTACTGCAGGCGGCCGAGAAATTTCATCAAAACACGAACCGTTTCGACGCTGACATCAATTATATTCCGACGCTAAAAGCTATGAATCCATCTGGCGAAGCGCTTTCTAGTTGTATGTAAATAGTTCTCTCTGAAACTCCCTCTGATTGAGATGTTATACACGCTGTCGCAGTAGTGGAGACATGTTGCACAGGTGTTTTTTTTTTTTTTCTTTTTGCACAACTGAAATTAGCTCTCGGCTATGAAATTACTCTGCTTTGTGTCGCTCAGTGGGGCATCAGCCAAGTAGCTCTTTATGACACGAGAGGAAGCGCATGCATGTCGGGTGTGTAGAATCCTTACGTTATCAGATTAATTCACCTGATTCAGGAAACTTGCACTCACAGCTGCTATTGATTGCTTTCCCTTTGTTCTACACCTGATGACTCTTGGGTTTTAATAGATCCTTAATTTAATTCATTTCCCTGCAATTAAATCTGTATTGGGAGCCCACAATGCTCCCCCAGTAATTATTTTTCAGCCTTTTGGCCTGCTTTCTTCCTGCTCCCACTTTTTACCCTTTCACTGCGTTGAGAACTCCTCTCTTGGGGGAAAAAGTTGTTAATATTGTGCAGCTTTTCTCTGAATTAAATGTTGGGGAATGTTCCATTGATAACATGCGTTGCAAAATGAGTCTTAGCTGTTTAACGTTTACACTTTTGGTAATCTTATAAACATAAACCTTGACACATCAGGGACGTAAGTGATATGTAAAGTTGGGCCGCAGCATCGTTGGGTTGATACATGGTAGTGGCATTATCATGCTGTGGGGGGTTGCTACACAGAGTTGATGTGAAGACTGACAGGATCTTGGAAGAAAACATGTTAGAGGCTAAAAAGAGGTGAGACTAAGGTCAAGGGTCAGCTTCCAGCAGGAAAACACGCAGCCAGAGATATTATAGGATAGCTTGGACCAAAGCATAATCATGTGTCAGAATGGCCTAGTTAAAGTTCAGATCTAAAGTCATCCGAGAATCTGTGGCTTATTATGAAAGTTGTTGTTGTCCAGATGTTTTTCTACCATCTGATTGAGTTCATGTGATTTGCAAATATCAATGTGCAAAAGTGTTTAAGCTAGTAGAGACACATGGTGGTTTTAACCAGTAAAAAAATGATGGTCTGGAATAAACTCCACATTTATTTTATGTATTTTCTAAAAAAAAAATAATAATAATGAGAAACACAAATCTGTTTCCCGTGTTTCAGAATTATATGTTCTGCTATTTTATGTTGGATGCAGAGCGGCTCTTTATCCATTACTCTACCTTCACTAAAGACTTGAATTTCCGAGCCACTCTGAGTGATGAAAATGTCTAAATAACTTCGTCATCGTTACATTTCTATTTTGGGAACCGATAATGCAAATCCACTGATGCTCTCTGAAGGGAGTCGGTGCAGACCACGGAGGAGGAGACAGTCAGTCAGTACTAGAGGAAGTTTGATGAAAAGGGTGAGCAGAAAACAAAACGATGAGTCATCTTTCGGTTTTGTTGCAGGAAATGAAGGAAACATTTGTACACCTATTATCTTCCAGATAATAACTGTTTGTGCCCCTAGATTCTATAACCAGGCTGAAGATAAGCAACAACCTTATATCTCAAGTTGACACAAACAAGATAATGTAGCATGATTTAAATGGTGAAGAGCGGCTTTGGCTATTTATAAAGAATAAAAGAGAAAAATATGACGGACTTCTGTTCCTGCTGCGGTGTTTTGATCCAATTAGTGTCTAAACAGCAATCAGCTTTTTCTCCTTAGATGTATCATCTGGTGTAATGACCTCGACGTCTCTTCAGCAGACATGACCAGGATAACCATCGTCGGACTGAAACCGGAGACGACCTACGAGGTCAAGATGTCCGCCATCAACGGGAAAGGCGAAGGCGAGAGCAGCCGTTCCAGCACTTTCAAGACGGAGCCAGTCCGTAAGTGCCTGCCTCTCCTCCCGTCTCCCTGCTCCAAACACGCCCTGACCCTGCAGCTTTGAACCTAATGCAGCTCCCTCCACCGCGTCCAGCAGAGCCCAGATGCTTCAGTCCTCTTTTCTCACGCCAAGCCCCGCCATAGTCCTCCTCCCATCAGACGGGAGCACGAATCCACCGGCCGCTGCCGCTTCCTAACTCAGCCGCCTCATAGAGTGACCTCTGCAGAATGTATAACGTGTGTGTTTCTGTCCTCGTGAATGTGTGTGCCACACGAGATGCCTTTGCGTCTTTGCCCACATCTGAGGTGATTTAGACTTTTCTTTCTAGACACTTAATACGTATTTATAAATCTGATTTACACTTCACTGCAGGGAGACGCAGCTCCGTATTTATAGATCACTGGCAGCATGAATTTTTAATATCGCAGCCACAGGTCAAGTCCTCCTGAGGAGAGTTTAGATGTTGTGATGGTGATGGCAGTGCATGATGAAGAGCAGAGGTGTTTCAGGAGGCTTTGAACTTTTTTTTTTTTTTTTTTTTTTTTTTTTATGAAAGGGAGCAAAGTCATCTGAGAGGAAGGAAGATTATTAAGCACACAGGGAACTCCAGACTTTTTTCTGAAGGGGCATCCAGTTGGTTCCCTTCAAGCAGGATGTATCACAAGTCCAGTCCTGCACTCCACATCTCCTGCACAAGTCTGACAGCGGCCGAGATAAAACGATTCAGGAATAATCCAAACTAATGGGTTTCTGGCGATGCTTTCTCATTCCTGAGGGTTTAGTGGGAGAAACCCGGGAGTGGGTGAGCTGAAAGACTTCATTTCACAGTGAGCCAACACATTTTAAGAGCTGAACGTAACACGATCGGCATATTGAAAATGATGGACAATACAATAGAGACGATAAGGAGGATAACATTTTTACCCGTTAATCTTGAGGTGTCCTAACAAACTAAACTAACGTATTTAAATATGTAAATGCATTCATCAAATGATCCAGTTAGTGAAACTTAGTGCTGAAAAAAGTCCAGCAGGTCAGAATCTGGTTGTTTTCTGTTTTTTTAACATACCCCTTTTTTTTTTTTTTTTTTTTTTGCCATGCACATTTTTTCTTTCAGGTCATCATACATGTTCAGCATCTTTCATATATACTGCCACCACTGGTAAAGATGTGCAAAGGCCTTTAAATAAAACAGCATCCTGCCATTCAGTGCATTGTGGCAAGAGGAAGTTTTTTTAACGTATTAGTTATTGCTCTGATTGTGAATGAGGGTTTAGGTGAATACTTTTTTTCCTGGTTTACCTGATTGCCATATTATCATATCTTTCCCATTTTGAAGAATAGCTATGAAAAATGGGCCCCATGTGTCTCTCCATATGTGTTTGCTATGAAAACAGGAAGTGATAAATAAATAAAAAATAAATAAATAAAAACATATACATTTGGTACATTTAATTCATAGAGAGGTTGTTGGGGTGCCATTGGTTGTAATACTCCAGATTTTGTAAAAAATGAAAAAAAAACATTAATAATGCAGGGTTTGTTTCATGTGGTGAAGGAATGGACTCAATTTTAGATTTTTTTTATTTATTTCTTTTGAAAGTGTAAGCTCTTCCTGCAAAAAAGACAAATTTATTTAAGTCTTTACACATTTTTACCAGAGGTTGCCAAGTTACAGCAGGCAAAAGGTTGAGATCAATACTGACTAAATAACAGCACAGATGTTGTTTTTTTAATATTTGAGTTCAGCTAACATTTTTGCTTGTATAAACTGGTGATTTTTTAAAAATAGAACATTGTTGCTGTTTTTTTTTTTTTTTTTTTAAGTGACCACAGTGGATGGTTCTAATTGGCTGCTTTCTGACAGCAATGTCTCACAGAAAGCATATGTGAAAGTTTAACTTAAAGAACGTGAACTGAGAAAATGTAATAGATTAGGGCAGATTGTACAACATCTTGCAGAATTTTGAAAAATTGTACACATTTGTACCTTTTTCAAAATGATATAATGAATCACTTTCTGTGAATAACAGATGTATATTCTGTTGGATTCTGAACTTAACTTAAAACTTAAAAAAAAAAAAAAAAAAAAAACTTAAGCCAACAAAATGTACAGTATTTCAGTTTAAAATGTGCTCTTCTGCCTCATCACTTTTAGTTTAGTGCAGGCCTGCTTCAACTTTACACTTGGCATCGGGAGTAAGGAGACTTTTATTGATCTAAATGTTTCTCTCGCCACCAAATGCCCCATCCGTGCTCAAAGAAGCGAGGAGGTAAATTTCTGTTCGATCCCAGACTCATTGCTCATTGCTGTGGTCGGTCTCGCTCAAGCAGTGGTTGGCAGAGTCACGTTGTTCTGGCTCTTGTTTCTTAGAGCCCAGTGGCTTGTTTTTGAGTCCCTGTAGATCTGATAAAAAGCAGCAAAAAAAGTGAGGCAGGAGAGAGAGAGAGATGAAACTGACGGAGATGTTGTCATGGTAACACCAAAAAGCTTCCTTTAGCACCTGAAGAGAGTTGAAATTGTGTTATGGGTTTTTTTAAATTTTTATCTCCATATATATTTGAATTCATCCGCTGCACTAAAGTTGATTCTGGAGGGCTTAGGAAGGAAACTTCACACGCCGTATTGCAATGCACATATCATGCATCAAACAGGCTTTTATTGTTTAGATTTTTGATTTGCAGAGTGTGCCGAATGCACACCAGCAGAACTGCAAGTTCAAAATTTGCATGTTTGTAGGTTTTGGTGACATGATTTACTGGAGATCAGATCACTGTGTGTAAATTTAGGATTTTATTACCTTCTAGTCAGTTTTTGTTGACAATATGCTAGCATATTGTAGCTTTGCCTAGATGACTCAAGTTGAGGATGTGTAGGAACGAGATAGCGGTGGAGGAAAACTGTGTCTTTGTTTGACACATTGAGACGGGGACGCAACAGTTTTTATTCTGTCAGGAGAAGAAGTTGATGGTAATTAGTAACCTAAGTTTGAGGAACACATTGAAATTGCACTAAAAGTGAAAATGACTGGGACAAGACTTGTTCCATATGAAGGTTGTTAGAATATGCTGAAATCATTTGAAGCACGCCACCACACCCTGCAACTATCACCCATCAGGCAAACAATATCAAAGGCCCCCAGAACTCAGAAGGTGAAGCGAGTTATGAGATTCATCCCAGTGTTTGTGACCATCTGATCCATGGCAACCAGATCGGTGTATGCTCTAAACAGCAGCAGTGTTTGGGGTGAACAGATGAATAAATCAGATACATAGCAGAGGAGTTGTAGAAGGATTTAGTTTTTCTGACAGGTAAAGTGATAAAAAGATCTTAGGCTCATTATTTACCCGTGAATGGAGCCAGCTGGTTGTTAGTTCACATTCAGGTCAAGTCTTTGTTTTTCCTCAGCGCTGTTGGTCATATTTTACAAGTATTCGTTTTTTTTGTTGTTTTTGTTTGTTTTTTTTTTGTCTGAAGTATTTAGGTATCCATTATTTTCTTATTGAACTGAAAGGTGTTTGGGTAATCATCGATTTATAAGTGAATCAAAGCCTTCTGGGTGAAAGAACTAGGTGATGGTTCTCTAGCTCAGAAAATCTTCTTAGAAATTAAGCATTAATTTCTAAGAAAATCAACAAAGCTCCATCGTGCTATCCATTCTGAGGAACGTTAACCTTCTTCTCATTCAGATCTTCACGTCAGGGTCATGAATGGATGTTTGTTTTCCTGTCTGGCATCCTTTGTCTCCTGCTTCCATCTGCACCTCATCACCTCACTGCCCCTTCAACATTTTCCTGATTGTGCCTGAGTCAGCATTGTTATGAAGATGTCTTAATAGGCAAATTTTCCAATAATCTGTATTTACATTCAACAGACAAATTTGCCAATGCTGAACCGTGAACAACTGGGGGTTCACTACAGTTAGATTATCTTTAATATTGATACTTAGACTGATGATCTAAAACATGAACTAGAGACAAAACAGCTAAAATCTATGAGGAATCTCTAAGGGTGTCAATACTTCTTAACATTTCTGTATGTTAGAGATTATCCTATATTGTAATTTCTGGTATTAAAACCCTAGAAGAGATTTTTAAGTTACTCTCGAATTAAAATGTTAGTAGATGGAGGTGCTGGAAGTTATTACATTTCACTTCCTAGTTGTGTGTTATGACAGCATCTTTTTAAAAAAAAGTGAAAAAGAAGAGAAAGCAAATGCATAATGCTCAGTGAGGCGGTGTAGGGGAATGGCACAGGGTTAATGATGCAGCAGGACACAGCTGCCCTTTTTCATTGATCATATTTCTCATTTTATTGTTTCTGTTCTCTTTGTGTTATTGTTTTCTCATGTTTTTCCCCTCCATCTATTCTGTATTCCACTGGACTTCTCAGAATATTCTCTCACAAGTAAGTTCTTCTTCTCCCTTTCTTATCTGCTTATTATCTGCAGTTTGCATCGTTTCCATTGAACATTCCTCATTATTAACAATGTTAACGACAAAGTGACGTCTTTACCGATTCCCATTCATTCATCATATGTCCATTTCCTTACTGTAAAGTCGATTGAAGATAGTTTCACAAAGGTGCGGCGACAACAGTGATTTTTCCTGTTTCGTCTTTTGTGTGAAATGCAGCAGTGGCTCAAATCACTTTCAGACATGGAGAAAAGACATGAACACTAGAGGAGGCCTGAGTCATGTCAGAATCAATGTCCATCCTGATCATTTTTCTTCTTTTTTTTTTTCCAATAGTGCAAAAACTTTCTGTCTCCGAAATAAATAATTTAGACTGAAACAGTCAGAATATTCCAGAAAGTCTGTGACTTCGTCTGAAAAGAAGTATTCATGCACCTTGAATTACTCCACAGTTTGTCACGTTACGACTACGAGGTTCAATAAAGACTTTAGAGAGCAAAACAGAATCATGAGGACCAAGGCTGTTTAAAAAATGTCAAACAAGAGTTAGATTTTAAATTTAAAACAAGAGTTAGATTTTAAATTTAAAACAAGAGTTAGATTTTAAATTTAAAACAGAGTTGGGTTTTACAATCACATCTGAGATTTTGAACATCTCGTAACTGTTCAATGTGTCACCTGATTGTGGAGGCAGGATGAACCTTTGGTTCTGCAAAGTACCGACTCAGGGGTGTTGAATACTAAATGAAGTCACAGTCTTCAGACTTTTCCTTATAAAATCCTTTGAAATCATGTGCTGTTTGTCTTATATGTCAGAATTATGCAGCACTGTGCGCTAATCCATCACATAAAGTCCCAATAAATCACTGTGAAATTTCAGGTCTTGATGTGATAAAATGTAAAAAGGTTCAAAGGGTGTGAATACAGTCGGAAGGCAGGTAAAGCCGCTATGCTTATTCTAAAAGCTTGACTTAATTTGCACCTTAATTAGTCAGACACGGGGCAGAATGGAGGCAGCATCCAGGGAATAAACTCCAGTTATGATGCAGATGGTGTTTACTTCAGAAATGCTCTCATTCCTACACTGTGAGGAACACAGAATCCCGGAAGACCGGAAGATGTTGGACTCACTTTTGGGAAAACAAATATTCATCGAACTTTGTTCTTGTTTTCTTGAATGGGACCAAGATGTAATGACTAAAACATGCACTCTGACATTTTCATCAACAAAACCATTGTTTGTTTTTCTGTTTTGCTCCAAAAAAAAAAAAAAAAAAAAAAAAAAAGAAAAAGCATAATCAGATTTTAATGGAAAAGTAATGTTGATCCAAGAGTCACAACTGAATTAAAATATGCTAAGCTGATATTTATTTTTTTCACTAATTATTCTTCATCACCTCAACTGAGCTTACCAACATAGTCTTTTTCTTTATTATTATTTTGACATGATTTGAACCATGAATATTAAAACTGGGTGTAGATTTATTTCCCTGTAGAACTCATCAGCTCTGACAGGTTGTTTATTGTCATCAATGCCAATTACACCAGCGTAGGCCAAACTTTATAGTTACTGACAAACCTACATTTTCGAATATATTTGAAATGCAGTCAGTACAGCAGGTGTAATAAATCTCCACACCTGAAGGTTTAACACATTGATTAGGACTTGAACACACTGTTGGTGCTCAGCTGTCGTCCAGTCAGACGCTGGGTCACATTAAGAGCAGCAGCAGCTGCATGGGAGCGTTCCTGCCGTTTGTGATCATCACTAAGCACTGAGGACTACTGCTTCTCTCATGCTGTTCTCACCATTTTTCAGTTGCATCATCGATCCCACCTGCTATCGCTGCCACCACTATGGCCATTAGTGAGTATATGCGAGTCCAGCAGTGTGTCTGTCACATCTCCCTGTCCTGCCTGCCTGGCTTCACACGTAGCGTAGATGTTCGTTAACGTTTGGTGTGGCTCACAGGAGGCGATCGTGTTCTGTATGATGAGCATAACCAGTCCAACACAGAATTAGCTGATATTGGCAGCTTACCTGCTTTTCTAACTCTGTTGACTCGTCCTTAATCACACTAACACTAAACAGTTTAAATGTGACAAACCGACTGGTTCTGCAGGGCTCCCACACATGGGAAGTTGCATACCTTTCTCAAAAGTTTTGCTGAATGTTTTAACTGATTTTTAAACTCTAAAGTTCATCTTGAATATATGACAAAACGTTCTAGATGTATGGATGGATAAAAATATGGAGCGACAGATGGAAAGATGGAGCAGCTGGTGAGATGATGGATGGAGAGACAGTTGAAAGGATGGACAGACATATGGATGAAAGAACAGATGTTTGAGGGGTGGGGTCGATGGACCAACAGATGGAAGGGTGGATGGACAGACGAATAGTTGAATGGGCAAAAAATTATGGATGGTCACACGTAAAGATGGACCAACTGGACACAACTTTTAAATAATTGGAATTCAAAAAAAACATTGAGAAAACAAATATTTTTTTTACTTACTAATTTTTCTTTTTTCAAACTAATCCTAATTTTTGTATTTTCTTAAATTCCCTTCCTTTCCAGACTGCATAGGAACCCTGTTTGTGGTTATAAATAACACATTTATGTATTCGGGTTCCCCGTAGGTTAAAATTGTGAAGTTTGTTTCATTGTGACGGAGGATGTTTATGTTTCCTGTGGCGAATCAGTGATCTCAGAACTAACATGCTTTTAGTAGAGGCAGCGATAAAACACTAGCATGTTGCTGTAAAAGTTGTGGGTTTTAAAGGGCCTCAGCTACTTTTCAACCTGGAACTAATTATCATCTATTCATCATCCAGTCATGTCTGTCAAGAATTCCTCCCAACCCATCAGCTCATGAAACTATTGAGGTTTTCTGGCTTCAGTCTAAATTCATTGTAGGTTTATAATATTGAGTTTGTGTTTTACTCTTCATTCCTTTTGGGCGCAGGAGTTTTTGTACTTTCATTTCCTCCTAGCGGGTATCTGGACTGTGTGGCATGTCGGGGTAAGTCAGGCCACAGAAGAATGGTTTTACTGAAAGGTGCCCTTTTTCTTTTCTGTCCATTTGTTGTTCTACTTTCTCTCTGCACATAAACTGATTTCTGACTCATGTTTCATGATGAGTAGATCCTTAAAAAGGACAACTAGAAGCAGTTTAGGGAGCCTCGTTGATCATCATGGAGAATTTATTATGAGACATACAAATGTTAACAATCAATATAAATGAGCTTCTGTAGTTTGATCACCTACACCCCTTCATAGAAACTCTTTATCTCATATATGTAGCAAACAGCAGGTCATGTGTCAGAAAAAGGGAATTGTTGTTGCTTTTCCTTCCTTTTCTTCCTCATAGAAAGGATTCCTGGCTCAGTGGGTCTGTGGTCAGCTGTCTCTGTCCTGGTATTGATGGAGCTGTTGCTGCCATTAACTTTATTTTAACCTCTCTTTTTTTCCAATAGAAAGTACTACTGGTCCAGTTCTTCTGTGTTTACATGTCTGCTTCCTTAACAAAGCTGATTTTCTTTTCTACAGACTGCACTGATGATCCAGCTCTGTTCTGTTTAGCTCTAAAGACGCTGACTAAGCTATTGTGGCCCTTAACGTTGTGTTCTGTCTTCCGTTCTTTTAGAAGAGTTCCCCTGACTCACTACATTATTTGGTTCAGGTGTAAAACTTCCTGGACAAAGACAGTGATAGTTTTGCTGCCATCAACTTTTTGCATTTTCTTCTGGTGTTTTTAGTCATAGAAAGTGCTTCCTGTCTCATGGACAAATTTATTAATAGTCATTGCTTCCATGATCATGTGCTTGTGTGTGTTTCATGTGTTTCTCTCCCAGAGAAGGAACAACAGGCACAGTGGTTCTCTGTTTATTTTTTATTTACGGTTCCTACTGAGTCTGGTTTTGTTGGATGCTCACCTTTGTTAAAAAGGAGACGCTTCTGCCCACTGGTGCCACATGCTTGCTCCAGACTGCAGGCATGGAGCAAGCATGCAGCGAGCAGCTGAGCTCCAGTGTTTTAGAAGTTGCTGTTTTTGGGGGGGATAAAAACCAGTTCATGATATGAATGATTTAGTTTAGTTTTGAATACTATAGTATTGTGAATGTGTATTTTTGCTTAAATATAAGATAGTTACTCTGACTCCGGACTGTGTTGTTGTCAGACGGTGTCGATTTGTTTCTATGTGGCATGAATGGACTAATTTGGATCTTTTGCAGAAACTGG